GATGTAGCAGAAAATTCAGTAATGGATTTAGTAATATGTTGCATTAATTGGTAAGTTAAAAATTAAATAAATAAATAGAAACACAATATCAATTTTAGAATAAATAAATTATAAAAATTTATTTTAGGTTTCGTGAATTGATCAGTGGTTTTGTTACACAAAAAGATTCTTTGTTACAAAAACAAATATTACAACGATTAGATAATTTGATAGATTTACAAAGTGAATTAAGTGTATTATTTTCTTTGTGTGACATAAAATACCAACCACCTCCATGTTATTTTCATCAGTTTCCATTATCACCATTTATAAGAATAGATAAAAAAGTTGGGAAAAAAGGGAAAAAAGGGAAAAAAGAGAAAAAGAAACTCAAAGAAAAATCTGTTAATTTTAATGAAATTAAAGATTGGGAAATGGGTTCTTTTATATGTTCTAAAAATCCAACTTATTTTAGAAAATTTGATGCAACGGTATCTATTTATTTTATAATATAAACTTTTAAGAACTTTATATTTTTTCAAAATATTAAATTATTTACGATTATATATATTAAATGTTATGCATGTTTATATTTTATATTTATTTTTATAATTAACATAATATTTGTAGATAGTACATCTATTAGATATAAAAATGGAAATGGATACAACACAATCAGTAGAACATAGTATTTCTATAAAACAAGTATGTTTTATTGTAAAAGAACTCCTAGCTATTTTTGAATATGATAGTAATGAAAAATTTATAAAGGATTTAATTGAATTATTACCAAAAATTTGCACAAAATTGCAAGATATTATAAATATTTTAAGAGAAAAAAATGAAAGTCAAAGTAGAGAAGCTGTTCGATTATTGTTATGTCTTCTAACAAAAATTTTTAATTGGAAAGGATTTGAAAGTGTTACTTATAACATATTATTACGAGGTATGATATTATACATAATATATTTATATATAACATGTTATAATTTATAATACATTTTAATAATTTGTACATTCTTATTTAGAGGGTTTACGAATTTTAGCAAGTCAAGTTGATGAAAGAAATATTACATTAAGATCATGTAAAGAACTTGTTACAGAATCTTGCAAATATTTCGAGTCTTTGTCTGATATTGCTACACAAATAACATTATCTATTTCATTAATTAATGTGTGTCAATCATTAATGAAACATTCTGAATCTTATATTAAAGAAAATAAAGAAAAATATGGTAAATAATATTATATACGCGCCTGCATATACACACACACACACACACATAATTTTTACTATTATTTTTAGCAAAAATGGCATTTGGATTCTTGTGCCTTCAATGGCCAGAAGACAATCATTCTAGCACTCAATATAAATCTGCTGTAATTGAATTATTAAATAGTTGGATTAATAACGAACCACTACCGTTACAAACAGTTACTTCAATTTTGGATTGGTTACCAAATGAAACTTCAAAATTGGAGAAACTTCAGAGTAGCTTAAGTAGAATACCTTCAATATCAAGAAGTAACTTTCATTTTTTATTTAAAAAGATGTTTGATGGTTTAATTAATGGTATAAAAACAGCTTTGCAAATAGCTAATAGGTACATATCTTGCACTTAATAGATATTTTTCTACATAAAATGAATATTTTATAAAGTTACATGTTTTTTTTACCAGTGATTCCAAAAGAATAGAGTTGTGGTATGAAATAGCAACAAACGTGCAAAAGTTAGTTCAGATATGTAAAACATTAACAACAAAAAATAATATATTGATATTTTTAAAACATATGCCTATATTATTGAAATCTTTTTTAAATCTTGGAATGCCAATTTTGGAGCATAATTTGAAATATCAAACGGGAGAAGTAACTAAAATATTGAAGATGATGCAAGGTATAGAATTTAAGTTATCTAATAAAATAAATATAATATATTGATAAAAATAAGTAATATAGATCATATATAACATTTTTTAGGAGGTACACGATATTTACATAGAATATGTTGTGATAGTGCAGAAAAAAAAGATCTCACATTAATGAAATATATTCCTGCAGCAAAATCTATATTAGAAAGATTAATTTACAGTGTAAAAGGAATGTTAGTTCTTAACAACAGCCCTGCTGCTTTTTGGATGGGTAATCTTGTTAACAGAAACTTAGAAGGTCAAGAAATTCTGTCTCAGGTTTGTATTTTTTAAAATATAGAATCTTTTAATATATCGCATCTTAATTTTATATTTTTATTGATATTTTTAGAATTTATCATCAGAAGAAAGTTCTGTGCCAAATTCTAATATAACTAATGATGCAGATAATGTATCATCAGACATATTGGAAAGTGATTCTAGTGATGATCTTCTTGATCAAGATAGTATACCATAATATTTTTTTGTATGAAAAACAAAAAAAGGATTTTACCAAACATAAACACTATAAAACAATATATTTTTGCAATAAGAGATTTATATTTTTTATATACATTTAACAGTATATTAATTGTTTGAAACTGATAATATAATTAATACAAAGTCAACTATTAACTATAATTATTTTTAGTATTAAAAACATAGAATACTATTTATAACTATTAATTTTTACACATTAATTTATTATTAAATATTTGGCGTTTCCATGTTAAGTCTGGCATAAGTGTTTCTTCAACAAATGTTAGTTCATTGTTTCCATTAACCAACAATATAGAATGAGTTCGTGTACAATATCCATCAGTTGATACAAACATTGAGCTGAGTTCTTTATATTTTGTTGGACAACGTTTTTGCAATTCAGGATCTGGTAAATATCTATGAATATAAAAATAATATATATTAATAACATATAATTTATAATTCTTTAAAAAATTATACATACCTTTCCTTTGATTTCAAAAATTTCAAAAGCTCTTCAATCAGTCTTGTTTGTTTTGACACCTTAACATTTTTAACAATATTCTCAAACATTTTTTTCCCTACTTCAACTTTTCTATATGGGATATCAAGACCACTATTACCAAAACCTAGGATATTATCTTGACTTGAATTAGGGCCTGTTGAATTATGGGAACTACTAAGATAGTTAATATCTGCATTCCTAAACAAATGAAAATATATGTTAATTTAATCAATTTGTACATCAATTTAGACAAATATATGGTACTTAAAAATATATGCATTATACTTTGATTATAAAGACATAGATTTACATACTGTAAATTTATTAAAACCAAAACAAAAGGATTATATATTCGAGTTTTGTTATTTTTCTTATGTAATTCATTTAAATATAAAACTGCAGAATCTTCTGATGTAATAAAATTAGGCACTAAATATCCTCGTCCTTGTTTTGGTATATTAGTTGAACTTGCTTCAGCAGATAAATTTAAAACAACACCAGCTTTTCCTGTTAATGACAATGCTAGCCAAGTTCCACCTTCTTTTCCAGGCTCCATATCAGTACCTTATAAAAAATAATAGAATATATATAATAATTTTGAATTTATCGCAAGCTTATATTATTATATAAATTAGATATATGATTAATTTTAAATATATAACTTCAACTTACCTCCTAAACATAAAGGATGATTTTCCCAATAATGAGCTGGTAATGCTGGTCGTTTAAGATCTTCATCACGATTTGAGACCAAAATTAATCGATATGATTCAGAATCAGCATCAGGATTACGATAAATAAATAAAATACACATAATTGTGGAGTAAATTATTTAAATGTTGCAGAACAATATCTGCTTATATCACAGCCTTTTGTTTTATACCACTTTTATTGTATGCCATTGATAAGATTGTGTACTTTTTTATCATAAATTAAGATAATGTCTGGTTCATTAACAATTGAAGACAAATTAATGAGATAATGACATTCATTTATATGAAGTATAATAAACCAAAACTAAGTTTTTCAATGTATAGATATAATTTTATGAAATAAAACGTAAAATTGTAGAATAATATAGATCATTTTAATTATATATAAATAATATATAATATATTTTCTATTTTAATATCTTACATATTTTTGACATTATTTTCAATGAACAAATATTATTGTTCATAAAAATACATTATGCTACATATTTAAATACATAATATAAATAACAATTTATCTACAATATAAAATTATATAACAAAAATTGTAACTATGTACGTATGTAGATACGAGGAATATTACATTTATCTCTTTTGTTATGTCAATATTTACACATGATTTTACACGAGTATTAGTTACTGACAATTCCTTATTTGTTACATTCTTATTTTTTATTATAATCCCCAATTATTATATCTATACATTTTCTATTTTCAGTGTTTAAATATATTTATCATTTTATAGCAAATACAACGATATGGAACAATACTTAATATGTAAGTATATAGATATGGTTAGCTCATACACGCCTTGATATATATATATATATCAAGGTGTATGAGCTAACCATATCTATGTATGTATCTATATATATATGCTATATATATATATATATATATATATATCAACATTATGAAATCAAATTTTCAAAATTTATGATAAATTTTAAGAGAATTATTTGTCATTTCTTTAAGAAGAAATTAGTCTTTTTTATGATTTATGTAGTTATTTATAAAACTTAAAATTTTAGTTTAAGAACTAAAATCATGTTTTCAAAAATATATTGGTAATAAAATAAATTAGTATAAACACTTCAATACAAACTTTATTGTATTGCTATTTGTATCATACACAACAATATTTTAGAAGTTTACATAATTTTCTATTTATTTATTATAAATTATAACTTATTTAAATATTCCAGTATTTATTTATTATCAAATAAACGATTCTTACAAAATTTTTTAAAATACTACAAAGTTAGTATTAAGCACTATAATTTATTTCAAGATCAGAAACAATGAAAAACAGAAATGAAATACTTATTTTTGGATATTTCTATTTAAAATACGTATGTATTTACTCTTCTTTACATTTCACATGTATATAGAATAATGCAATTAACAATATAAATTACATCGTAAGACTGATAATGAATAGTGTTACTTTTTTAGAGATTGATTTTAAAGATTTTTGTATTACACATCATGCGTAATTTTATTAGCATGGAAATATCAAATAACAAATTTTGTTTGAATAAATTTATATTCCTTAACATTTGTGCACTCTCTAATATTTTATTTTAATTCAATTATATTATTTATATTTACATAAGAATTTACATTTTAAAATGTATAGTAAAGTATAAGAAAGTGCTTTGATATCGCGTATATAATGCAGAATACAGATATTATATATCACATAAAATCAAAACTTACATATAGGAAACATATTAAAATATATCTGAAGAGTTTTTTTATAATACTGAGTTTTAGACTAGAATTTATATAGTGACAATCAATAATTTATTAGGAAAATACAACAATGTGTAATAAATAGTATTAGCGATATTTTCATGAAACAGCAGGATAATATTATAGCAAAATCCTATGAATGAAAACTTATTAAGAGATTTAAAATAATTATTAATATCATTTTTTATGCAATAATCATTTTTATGAAATTTAATGACACTTTAATTAAATGAAATCCATTTTTTTATATTTTATGTCAAAAATTAATATTTCATAATTTGGGCATCAATTATAAATAATTAATATTTTAAGAATTTAATAATCTTGTATTCAATATTAATTTCACATATTAAGTTTATAATGTATGATATAATAAATGTCATGGATTAATGGAATATCTTAGATCGAAGATCTAATTTGATTTTATAAAACTTTAAAGACTTATATGAATTAAAATTATATTTATAATTCAATCTTTTTTTTTATTAAAATTGCATAACAAGAATTTTAATGAAATAATATAATTTTAACACTATGTTTTTTATTTATAATTTATAATTTACATCACCAAAATACCTAAAGACTTTTTAACATTAGATGTCTCTGGTAATGAAAGAGCCCATTTTCTTAATCCTGTTAATAGAACTGAACTTGTAACTACAATTGCTCCTCCTACTGAATAAGGATTTGGTATTTCATTGAAAAATAAAACCTGCCAAAAAAAGGCAAAAACTATGTCTGCTGACCTTGCTATTGCAACTGGTCCTGCTTGTTCCATCTGTAAAGCTAATGTTAATAGTATTTGACCCCCAAAACTGAAAAGAGCAAGTGCAACAACTAAAAGTCTGTCAGTTCCACACCGAGGTAAGCACAATGCACCTATAGCCCAAGATATAACTATTGTTTGAATTAAGGCAAATGATCCAAAATTTGTCATAATTACTGAGAAATGAAGACCTTTTAAAGCTCGAAGTAAAACATATGCATTTGCACCAAAAAGAGTTGCGGAAAAAGCTGCTATAGCACCCCATAAGTCTGCATGTTGTGTTTTTATGTGTCCATCTGAAAGCGATTCAATAGTATGTCCAAAGATGAGTGGTGGACGTGTTATTAAAATTACACCAATTAATGTTAAACAGACTGTTATAACATTAAATATCCCACAAGGCTCTTTTAAGAATATTCTTGCAAATATGGCTACAAATACAGGAACAGAAAATACTACAACAGATGCATCAGCTAATGGCATATGCCGAAATGCATAAAAACTTAACATGAGGCCAGTGGTCCCAACAAAACTTCTTAATACTAGCATTAATCTACGGCCCTTTGGAAATGGATGTTCGCCCTTATATATTACAATTGGTATTGCTGGTAGTAATACACCCACAAATCGAAATGCTGCCAATTCCATTGGATTTACTTCTACTAAACCCTTTACAATAACACTACATAATGAAAAAAATAATGATGATAATGTTGCTAAGATTAGACCAAGATAAGGGCATGATTTGCACATTAGAATTGAAAATCGTTTTTGTTGTATTGTTGTGCTTTTTTCAATATCAACATCAAGTAAATGATGCAGTTCAACATGTTCTGACATGTCTGAAAGAGAAAATAAAATTTAAATGCTTTCCACGATTATATAGATAGAAAAATAATAGAAATATTATATCCCTAGGTGCAATTTGTTGTCAAATATATAATATATAATAAATTGTTTAATTAATAATTAAATAAAAATAAAAACAAAGAATGGTTCATTGATAATAAATTTAAGAATGTGAGCTTGATTATTTAAAAATAATTTATTTTTCAAATATATATATTTGTAACGTTATTTCAATAACATATTATAGTTGATTTTGTGTTATCAAATGTTATAACTCACCTGCAATAGATACAATAAATGATTAATCACAGCACATAATTATTAGTAAAACTATGTAATACATTTATAAATTATTTGGAAGACTAAATTATTTTAAAAATTCTAATAATACATCTTTCTTCATTGTTATTGACAATGTCCCTCACATTTTCTTTCAATTTCTATTTTAATTAAAAGATCACGTTGTTACTTGCATGAAGTAAGCAACTCATGTCTAGATCACAACGTAACAGAAATGTTTAATTTAGACTATACATTGCATTTGAAATATCAATCTCTAAGTTAAATTTTAAAAAATTTTAGAATTAAGAAGTATATTTTACATAAATACTATTAGTAATAATATCAATACAAAGTAAAAAGCGACTAATAATTAATAAATATTAACATTTTTTCACTTTCAACTATATTATTTCTATTATATCATTTTTCCACTTTCAATTCTATTATAGTCAAATATTAGTACATGTATATTAATATATTCAAGCAGTATAAATTTAAATATTTTAATGTCAGAAAATTTTAATTAAAATATAAATTATTTTTATTCGATTTTCGCGGTAAACTAAAGATGGGTGGAGTCGATCTTTTATATAGGATGTAGCAATTCTTTTAATTTCTTATTTCGTTTTATTTTCATTTCTTTGTATTAAAATTATTATTTTTGTTCTAAATTACTGTTTACTGTATAAATGTGTCTACAAAAGTATTATACAATATGTAATATAATGATTGAATTATTACTTATTTCGTTTTTGATGTAATCTTTAGTAACATATAATGCTTTCATTAAGTGTAATTATGACTATTTAATTTTGTCGAAACGTGTATAGAATTTATTTATTTAATTAAATTATTGTACGATATTATTATATACATAAACATATATGCTCAAAATTATTGTTTGCATTACAAACTTCATATTCTGTATTAGATTTAATATGTTTTTCTCCATATATAAAATTTATAAAAATTATATCCATATATAAAATTTTTACATATATAAAATTTATAAAAAAATTGTGTGAATTGAATATGTGACATTATTTATTTTATTACATATAAATTTGACTAATATTGTATTGTCTATTTAATTAAATTAGTTTATTAAAAAATTTCTAATTCAGTCAGTATATATATTTTTATTTGCACATAACGCTTTTTTTTTTCAATTTTGAATGTTCAGATAATCCCATATTTTCGAATACAAGCTAGAAATGTATTTTAGAACCTAATAATTTACATCTATAAACACAGTTTCAAATTTGGAATAATTAAACAACAAAATAAACGACAAAAAATTGTTTTAATATTAATTGTTAATTTTATGGACTTTTAAGTATTTACAATGAATTAATATCACATGCAAATAATTTGATATACAAATGATTTACATAAAATCATTACATTATTTCTTTTTTCTTTCATGTATCAATATTTAAAATTACTTTAACAACATGTACAATTGTACAATAAATAATTTTTATCCATATTTCTAGAAATATATTTTCAGATGTGTAGGTGATCATGCCCTTTGCAAGAACGAACTACTGAGTGTGTACTATTCTATGCCCACACAATGATGTACGAAGTTCCTTCTAAAATATTGCTGTTCATTGGTCGTATGTATGAATTTCATAGTGTTCGCAGGTTACAATAAATCAGACAATTTTTCAATTAAAGTTGAATTAAGTTTGGAATTGTAGTGTAGTGTGCAAAGACCATTAATCGTAAGATACAGAATCGAGAACTATTTAATGGATCCGACTATCGGTTGGTATCAACCGGAGCAGTTCGGCCCTGCTAAGGATTTGTGGTTACACATTTGGGAAGCTGAGAAAGGCCTGGATATTTTAACGCTGAAAAACGATTCGAATATAATGGGCATGAAGCTCCAGCAAGATTTCATATCTTTGGATTCGCTTAATTCTCGTACAGGGGACCGTATGCAACATAATACTTGCAATAGCTATTATAATCCATCACGTAGGAAAGGTGATAATCGTGCTAGTACCTACGGCATGAACTATAATTACGATGCCTTAGTTGGCGAATACGGCGGTTGCCCATGGCGGGTACCCAATAAACATTATTCGAAAGGTGTTATTGGGTAAGTTTTTTTATTAAATTTTAATGTATATATATGTTGTTTGCCTTGTGAAAGTTAAACTATTTGCCTTCGTGTAATTTGTCCATATGGGTATGATTAAGGTTATGTGTGTGCACGCTCGTTTACAAATAGGATATAACAAGGTCCCTTTATAATTAGATATGCTACAAATACGAATCTGTTTTCTTATTGATAATAGGTAAAACTCATTTAATTGAATAACTTTTTAAATGTTTGCAAAATTTTATCAATGTATCTTTGGTTTTTACTAATATGTATATTGATTTTGTAAACACGTGGATGATTATTTAAGTTTGTATCCACAATAATCTAGTATTCTCTTCAAATTAGAAAAGATATATTTAATAATATTAGAAATTTTGTTCATTAAATTTTTTAATTTTTTTGTTTTATTTTTGTAAACTGTTTTATATGTTACTTTTAAGTATCAAATCTAATTTTTTTAACATTCAATTTTTTAGTTTTAAATTTATTTTATTTTATCTTTTATTCTAATACCTATAAATATAAAATTTAACAGTTTATTTAAAATACTTTTATATTTACATATTAACAAATCTATTCATTGTGATAGTTTATGCCTTTAAAGTATTCTGACGTTTTTATTTAAAATAAAAGTATATTTTATTCAATATAAATTTAATATTTATTTGTTTTAAAATATGAAAGAACTAGTTTGAAGAACTCGTTATAGACATTTGTCTATAAGATATCAAACTTATTTTAATATATTAAATATTTTAATAACAAATTTATAAATAAAAAAATCGTGTTATTATAGTAACTTCGATAGAAATATTTATATTTTTTATGTCATTTTAATCTTCGTTGTTATTTATTATAAATATTTGATATTTTTAATAATAGTTTTAAAACTTAATCTGATATATTTGATTTTATAATATTTTATAATATTTAATTAAGAAGTATAACATATTATATTAAAGTAAATAAAATAAAAAATTATCATTAATAGATTATATTTTTTAAATTTGCTCTTTAGATTACATGAAGAAATTGAAGATTTTTTTGCTTATATGTGTCCCTCTAATGAAGAACATAGTTTACGAATGCGTGTTGTCAAAAGGATAGAACAAGTAATATATGATCTCTGGCCAGATTCTAAGGTTGAAGTATTTGGCAGCTTTCGCACTGGTTTATATTTACCTACAAGGTACGTATCATTGTACATATTTAAAATGAAATCTATTTAGTAATATGTTCACATGTAAAAAATATATATTAATAATTAATTATTACTCAAAATTTTTTAAACGTATAAAGTTCATTCTTTTTTTCAGTGATATAGATTTAGTAGTAATAGGAATGTGGACAAATCTTCCATTACGCACTTTGGAACGTGCTTTATTGGATCAAAATATAGCTGAACCATCTTCCATTAAAGTTTTGGATAAAGCTAGTGTTCCAATTGTCAAGTTGACTGATAAAGAAACTGAAATTAAAATAGATATCAGTTTTAATATGAATAATGGAGTTAAATCTGCAGATTTGATAAATTCTTTTAAAAAGAGGTTCCCAGTATTGGAAAAACTAGTTATGGTATTAAAGCAATTCTTATTACAAAGAGACTTGAATGAAGTGTTTACTGGTGGAATCTCTTCATATAGTTTAATACTTATGACTATCAGTTTTTTACAGGTAAAATATTAATATTCTTGTATCAAATTTTCAGTCAGAAATAAGTAATTTAATAATTACGTTTTACAAAATTGATATATTAGTATATTTTGTATATGTATTAGTATATTAAGTTATTTTGACTTATAAAAAATAACTTATGTTTTCTAAAGTAGACAATTTTTTCTTATTGTGTGAATGAAATTTTATTTCAGTTGCATCCCAGACAAAATGCTTATTGCTCGAATGCTAATCTTGGAGTACTATTAATAGAATTTTTGGAATTATATGGTAGGAAATTTAATTATGTTAAAACAGGAATTCGTGTAAAAGATGGTGGTACTTACATATCGAAAGAAGAGGTAAATCATATATGGCAGTTTCTGATACAAAAATAGTACATATAATAAAATATGTATTATTATTATTTATTTTAGAATATTTTATATAAAGTATTTTAAGTGTAAAATTTATATAAATACTGAGATGAATATAATTTGTATATATTTTACATTGATTTTAGGTTCAAAGAGATATGATAGATGGCCACCGACCTTCTTTATTATGCATAGAAGATCCACTTACACCCGGAAATGATATTGGTCGTAGCAGTTATGGTGCTCTATATGTAAAAGATGCATTTGATTGGGCTTATTATGTCCTTTCACAAGCAGTTAGTCCTTTAAATATTTTAGTTAATGATGCAAATAAAGTAAGGTAAGATAATATAATATAATATTTATATATTTTATAATATATTTTTTATATTAATGATATAATATAACATTTATATAATATTTATCTTATTTTTATATTTTATTTTTTATAATTCTATTAATTATTTTGAAAAAATATATTTTGTACAGTATATTAGGAAGAATAATCCGCGTGACAGATGAAGTAATAGAATATCGTAAATGGATTAAAGAAACATTCCCACTACCTTTGAATGAGGTAGATTCATTGTCAAGTTCTACTGGATCTGATGCTTCAACACTATCTGCTCCAGCTAGTGACACGGTAAAAGATTTTTCAAAATGTAAAAAAAAATCATTATAAATTGATTATATTTTCCATTTTTTTTTCTTTTTTTTTTTTTTTTATCAATCTTATCAGGATTCTGAATGTAGTCGTGGAAATTCTCCCAATGCTAGTGGAAAAGGAGAAGACAGAAATAAAGAAAGACATGTATATAATAATCAACATACTCACCATCATTCACAATGGAAAAAACCATTTAAAGGAACTGCTCATGGTATATAATTATGTTAAATTATATTAAATTAAATATTTATGTATTTTATAATACGATTATTTTAAAATTTTTGATAATTAATATAATAATTAAAAATTAATTGATGTAATAATTAAATATTTAAAGCGACTAAAAGATAATTATCCATTAAAGTTAAAAACAGTTTATATGTTTTAAATATATAAAAAATATGCATTTACTACAGGTAATCACCATCATAGTTCCAGAGGAAATTATCATCATCGTGGAATAAATAATAATATAAGTGGACAAAGTAAAGCAAAACACTCCCTTCACAGTAATGGAAATAATAATAATAGCCACAGTCCAAGTTCAAGGTCACAAACCGTTAAACGAAAAAAACAGTGCATTACACCTCGTGGTACTGGAGATTGTGTACGGTGATGAAATGTGCAAAATAATGTTGGACTTTGTTTCATACTTAAGTAGAGAGCTCAATATCATAATCGTGTGGTGAAAAGACATTGATTAACTTTCATCACGCAACTATCCTTTCCATTTTAGAGGGGCTCTATCTCTACAACTATGTAGAGTTAACAAACTCTATATTATTTTTTTCTTATATGAACAAAAAAATGGCCCCTATATATATATAGTTAAGTTCTTTATTTCACCAGAAAAATTGTTTATTCTGTACGAAAATTTATATACCCAGGACGTACAGGATTGTAATATAGATTGGTTTAATTTTATTTTTATTTTGCATTACTGCACATATTACAAATAATATTTAAAAAATATATAATTTATTAATTATTATTTACAAATTTACAAAGTTATTGCAATGTTTAAATAGCAATTGTGTTCATAATTACGGTAAACTCATTGTAACACATTCATATAATATGAACGGTATATACAGATTATTTACAGTGCAGTTTTCTTAAAGATTTCATGAAGTTACAAAACAAGCTCTAATAATGATGACAAAGACTTAGTTTTCTATATGAAACTATATTCTTATAATAAAGTGGTAACAGAAAAATTGGTGATATTGGGACTTACCTAAATGTAAATATTGTAATATATATTATCAAACATAGAAAAATAAGTCTAAGAGTTACCTACTACATTTTTTTTATTTTGTACGTATCTAAAATAATGTTTGTTATAATAATTTTATCATTTAAAATCATGGATTAGTCCATGTATATGTGAGAACTTACGTATTTTTTTTTTATAATATGTAAATCCAGTAGTTGTGAAAATGTTTTGGTATATCTTTCGGATTTTAATAAAGTTATAAGTTCGTGTGCCGGAGATCAACAAATTTTGAATAAAAAATATTTTTTAAAATATTAACTTATTGAAGAAAAAAATGATACACTTTAGATTTTTACACTGTGTTCTTTAAACTCGTAATTGTGCATAATGCTTTACTTTTTATACAGAATTACTGATTTCATAACACTAGTTTGTAATTTTTAGTCTCCTCTGAACAATAATACATTATTTTTATATTATGAAAATAATAGTAAGCATATACATCGTGGTCGAATGTTACACAAATTCTGTGCACGAATCAGACATTGCATTTAAACGTGTTCTATGTTATTTTTTAAAATTTGAGCAACGTTTCAAAAATTTTGTATGTGACAATATATGCAGGCCTTTGTATTATTGAAAACTCCAAATGTATTTGTGAAAATTATCTTACATCTAATTTATTATTTAAAATTACATTCCGTTCTTCAATACAAATCTTCGTTCCTTAAATTGAAAAAAAAATAACTGCGTAAAAATAGCAATTTACAAATTAAGGATCTATGTCCGAATTGCATTTTGTGTTAATGCAAATTGTAATATGATTTAACCAGTGTGTCCTATTAAATTCGAGTACAGAGATAAATAACTTTAGTATTCACTTTCCTTCAAACTTTTTAATTCTTGCGCAGTATTCAGTGATATTATTTAACAAAGAATTGTTCATAAATAACATTGTAAGCTGTGATTCAATTTTATAATTAGGATGTCAATTACTCGCCACAGCATACATATATATGCATATGTATGCATACATATATGTATGATATATAAATGTGAATAGTAAAATGTGAATTCTACATTCTTCAAACTATATAATTATTATTATTGTTATTGTTACTACTGCTAATTAGTCTGCAAAATGATTACAAATTTTTAAATTACGATCAAATTTTCGTAAGAATTTATTATTAACAATTTGTGATTTATGTTTATCTATTTTCAAAAATGACTTAAAAATGTAAAACCAGAAATTAATAAACAGTAATAACAATTTTTTGTATCATTGTTATTATCTCTCTAATTTTAAATAATATAGTTAGAGTTTATTAAATAACATTATTAAATACATTTAAATTTAGAATTCAAATGTTTCTTACTTTTTACTATTCTTTAATAAGTTTTAACGAAAATAAGATATTAAAACATTTTTCGTTACATTATTTATATCTTACATAATTAAATTAAATATCGTAATATATTACGATAGTAATATTATAATCCAATGTTAAGTATCTCGAGTATATAAAATTTACATAATTAAAAAAATTTTAATTATGAAAAATAATAGAAAATAAAAATAGAAAACTTTTACTTAATTATATTATTAAGTAAATAATATTATTAAATATTTTTACGTATCATAAAATATGTACCCTGTTATTCGATCAAACGTCTGAGATATCAGGATTGAGAATTTGAAGAAAAATGAAAAAGCAGGAATATATATGAATGAAATATTGATATCCAATATAAATACATCGCATACTCGATGACAATAGAAAAAGCAATAGACGTTAAAATAGAAATAGATAGAAATCCTACTATTTATAAACAGTATCTATGATTGAACATACACAAATATTGCATAATAAAATTTTATTTCAAGAGAAACATTTAATTTATTAAAATTTTTTCCTATTAATCTTGTACAGGATATTTATATTAAACAATATTTCGTGTATACAATACACTGTATTTTTTACTACATTTCTAAACATAAGTTAAATTTATTTTTTTGCACTAATTCCACTAATAGGATTGACTTCAAGTAGTTGCATACGTTCCAGTTGTGCAAGTCTATTTTCTAAATTAAATGATTCTGGTAATGGTGGATATGCTGCAAAATTCCATATTATGTAACATTAAATAAGTAAAATATTTAAATATTTATGTAATAAAACTTATAAAAATAAAATATTTTCTATTATGATTAATTTACCTTAAAATATTAAATGCTAATTCTAATAATGTAAATTTCTCAATTTTATATTTTGGTCCTATTTACATTGATATTTTAATGTAAAATAATGTAAAATAATGTCATAGTAAAATATCATTTTAAAATCAATTTAAAAAACTTAACAAAATTTTAATTAATTATTTAATTTGTAAATTATATTAAAAAATATATTTTTTGAATGTTTTTTGTTATAAATGTATCATACATTTTTAAACTCACCAAAAGTTTTGAGAAATATTATTACCCAAATACTGAAAGCTACACCAATTAAAGCTAGTCCAATGGATCCTTTCCATTCTCCTGTTGGAGCCTGGAATTCACTAAATGTTTGACAAAAACTGGCTCGATATAATGCTTTTTTTTCTTCTATTGATAATTTTTTCCAATCACCTTTCTCTTTCTCTCGCAATGCCTGCATAAAGGTAAATGTAAAATAAAACGTAAATTGGTTACAAAATAATATTGAAAGACTAAATTTTATAAATTATGTTTAAAATGCTATAAGTATAATAATTACCATTACATCAGGAGTATTTGCTTTGAAACGAATTGCAGGTAATGGAAAATCACATCGATCTAAGTAAGCTGCTTCTCCATTCCATCCATGACCTACTATATCTCTATTGCCAATTTTATCAGGTATATCAGGTACTCCTGATAAACAACGAATAGAATTTGCATACTTTGGAGCTTTTTGTCGTAAGCAAGATAGCAATACTTTGTTTGCCATTGTGTTCTAAAATTAATATTATTTAATATAATAATATTAAATATAAAGTAACATGTTATACATATATGATAATTAAATAAAATTTAATAGCTGTTATAAAATAAAAATGAAACAAAATTTTCCTCACTATAGTTGTAAGTTGTAATGTTGATTTAATTAATGAATATGTAGAAAATACATTGAAATTGAATATAATTCTTATTTTATATGTATATATATCCAATTTTCTATCGGAATTATGATTTTATACATTATATGTAAGAAATGTTTAAGCAAAATAAATTTCAAATGTAAATATAAATTTGATAGTTACATAAAATTATAAGAACAAATATCAATAATTGTAGATGACATAGTTCCTATCGAATTTATATTTTGAGATAATATTACATATTGATCGCCATACATCTTTTGGTTATCTAATAATCAAATAACATCCTTTACTAAAAAATTTATTTAACGAAATATATTTACATTTATTGCTTGTAGTATAGTAATTTATTACATTAAAACTGCACGTTTGATTATTGTAATATTTATTAATTATACAAAATTTATTACGTAAACTTACGTTCTTTGGCAAGCCTAATTCCAGAAGAATTGAAATGGCGACCAGAGTGGTTAAATCACAGTTAGAGATATAGTCATACAAATGTTATACACTATTGTGTTAGGTATCGAACTTTAAAGTATCGATACATAACAATCGATTTTTAAATAGTAGCAGATATTACATATTAAAAGCAATTGGGTTTTTAATTTTTTTAGCAGAGTGTAATTTCAGAAATATTAAGAAAAAACTTGATTTTAATACATAATTTACTTTTATATATAATTCATATTTATATAATTCATATTTGTATACGTAGTTAATATTATATCATTACAAATAAAAGATGCTCTTTTTGTGGATTGAATTCTTTTTCTTCATTTACATACTGTTTGTGATGTATGAAAATTGCTCTAAATTGTCAAAATAAAAATTATAGTTATTATATTATTATTATGTGGCGAATTATTATGTTAGAATGTAATTAAAAATAGATAGTATATACATAATTTTCAACAGTAAAGAAAACAATGCAAAGTTGGTAAAATATTTGAAGCTTTGTTGAACATCATACATTGTTATAAATTCTGAATAACTACAATACCAAAGCATGATTATTTTTCATTTCAAAAATATTTTTTTCTGTATGAAAAACTTTTTATTAGGACATTCATTGTAATAGTCTTTGTAGTACTTTCATTAAACATATATTTCTATTATATAGAAATTAGAGGGATATTAGAGAATACATTTTTAAAAATATACATGTGTGGAAATGTTTAAAATGCATCTACCTTATCGACTAAGTAAATTTATGTAGGAAAGGACATATGAAGTAGTCTCTATTTCTGGCTATAGGATCGTACAATTCGTGTGATTATAAACCCGCGGTTGCTTACGGCATGGCGTTAGCCAAGTCGTGTGTCATCGTGCGTTGCAGATGAAAAGTGTAATACATTTGTAACGCTTTTATTTTACATGTTGTATACTAATGAAAAACTTTTTATACAAATTTTAACGACAGGTGAGAATTTCAGAGAATGATAACACCAGTGCCTCCGAAGATAAAATGACGATATTTGTGGATGAACAAAGTTAAAGATACAGTGAGGTTTTGATATGGCGGCAAATTTTACTTTGATGATACGTTACAAACTTCTGTGGTACTTCTTAGTTGTTTCATCGGTTATTCAAGTGCGAACGTTTTGTAGTTTTTATGCTAAATTTCAATCAAGATGAATTTATTTGCAGCATTACATAAAAAAATTGAAATGCTGTATATTTGTGCATTTTGAAGCACAGTGGCGACATATCATGGCGGCGAAATTTTCTTAGCTGCAGTTGTGTATCTCGATTATTTTCATACTTAATACGTACGCTAAGGAATTTCTTTGTAAAGTAATACTTGTAGTAAATTGATATATTGTATATGAAATTCTTTTTTATAATCTCTATTCATATTTTGGTTTTGTGCATTCAAGTGATGTAATTACATTGTATTAGCCAGGCATAACATGTAGTTAATCTTTCCTGTGTATATCCTTTACATTGACATCATGACTTAGATGTGAAATTGTAATACAATAGTTCCATATTGATATAAAGTATTAATGTATGTTCATTTGTGCATACATTTATTTTGCATGATTTTTAAGATTGTTCAAGATGAACAAGCGCCGTAGAACATCTTCAGTTGCAAGTCGAGGCACAGAAGATGATGGTGATGATATACCACCTGAACCAACAAAAAGACGGAAAAAAATAGATCCTGTAAGTTAAAATCATTGTCAATGAAAATTTCAATGATTGGCCAAACGTTAATATTTATTTTATTAAATATTTAGAGTGACTTGTGCCAACAGTTATATGATGTTCTACGTAATCAAAAGAAAGAAGATGGAACATTATTATGTGATGCATTTATACGTGTGCCTAAACGTAGACAAGAACCAGGTTATTATGAAGTTGTAACAAATCCTATAGACCTACTAAAGGTTCAGCAGAAACTAAAAACAGATGAATACAGGGACATGGATGATTTAGCAGCTGATATTCAACTCATGGTTAATAATGCAAAAGCCTTTTATATGGTAATATATATTGATTTTTGCAAGAGCAATTATAAAACAAAATGTTATTTTAAGTTAATATTTAAATTATTAATACTATTTCAAAATAGCGTACATCTCCTGAATATAAAGATGCTACTGAACTTTGGGAATTATGTATAAATACAAAAAATCGTATTATGGAAGAATACGAAGATCCAGAACCTAAAGGAAAACTTATTTTAAAAGTAGGACGACTGGTCAGTAAAAATTATTTATATACAATAGTTAATCTATAAATTTAATAATGTAATGTTAATTATGTAGGCTAGGAAAGCTACAACGAAACAAGAAGATGCAGAAGATACATCTGAAAGTTCTACAAATCCTGATGAAGAGACAATGCAACAATTCGAAGATTTATTTGCAGCAGTTATGACAGCAACAGATCCAACTGACAATAATAGACCATTGCATACAATGTTTCAACTTAAACCATCTAAAAAAGTTTGATAAATTCCTATTGATGAAATATTAATATATTGCTGATTTAAACAAATTTATTATATGATGAATTTTATGTTTTCAGTTATATCCAGAATATTATGATGTAATTGAAACACCAGTAGATTTAAAAACAGTTGCACGAAAAATTCAAGAAGGAGCCTATAGTAGCATTACAGATATGGAAAAAGATTTAATGCTAATGTGTCGTAATGCTTGTCAATTTAATGAACCTGGTTCTCAAATATACAAAGACGCAAAGCTTTTAAAGAAGATTATTACTGCAGCAGCAAGAAAGCAAGATATTGGATTAAGCAGTACTGTTCCGAAAATTGCAACAACTGCACCGTCAACAAGAAGTAAAAGAGGAAGTCGTACTATGGCACAATCTTTAATAGCCCAAACTGCAGCATTACCTGATGAAGATGAAGAAAGTGATGATGAAGAAGAAGAACCTGCTGAAACTGAAGAAGCTGATAATCCACAATGGCAATTATTTCAAACTATTAGAACAGCACCTAATAATCAAGGTATTTTATGAAATCTTTCTAAAATATTATATTGACGATGAAAGACATTTTACAACAATAATACTGAATAACTTTTTTTTATAAGGAGTTAGAATGAGTGAATATTTTTGGAAACTGCCATCAAAGAGGTTATATCCTGATTATTACAAAACAATAAAAAATCCTATTTCTTTATTACAAATTCGTACTAAGATAAAGGTAATTAGTAAATATATAAATCTTGATATCTTATAAGTTATTCTTGTTTAATCCATAATTTTTGTAGAAAGGTGAATATGGTACTGTGAGTGAAGTAGCTGGTGACATGAATATTATGTTTGAAAATGCAAAAAAGTATAATATCCATACGTCTAGACTATATAAGGTATTAAACATTAATTTAAGAATTTTATGTTTTTAATATATTATTTATTTACATTAATGTTTCACACACAGTGCGCTGTAAAATTACAAAAAATTATGCAAGAAAAAGTACAAGAACTATTAGAATTTGATCAGGTAAATAAAATTCATTCTAGTAAAAATGTATTATTCTCTTTAAAAATTTTATATTTAATATGAAGTATTTTATAGAAGTATGTTAATGGAGTTATTTATTTTTTATTCGATACAATAATATTAACGATGTAGTAAATAAACATTTTTTAATAAAATATATTTTTATTTGTATGAATTACTAATGTAAATTTTAAATTAGAAGATTTGTTGTATTAAGTATTTTACCTGAATTTTTTGTTTTTTTACATTGTATTTATAGGATTCAGATTCAGATAGTGAATTCGAGAATAGTTCTCATCAACCTAAGCTTATTAAACGTGCTTCAAATCTGTTGACACGTGGAAAATATAAAGACAATATACCATTGAAGAAAAGATTGTATACACTAGTTAAATGTGTTATAGAATACGTTGTAAGTAATTCCAATTTCAATTGTTGAAATGAAGCTTAACAATACAGAATTTATTATATTATAGTGTGAAGATGGTCGACAACCAATGTTAATGTTTATGGAAAAGCCCTCTAAAAAATTGTATCCAGATTATTATCAAGTAATAGCAGAACCAATTGATATGTTAGCCATCGAAGCTAATATTAAAGCAGAAAAATATCAAAGTGAAAACGAATTAATACAAGATTTTAAGGTATATTTTTTATACTATTATTATTATAGTTGACTAATATATTTCACATTGATTTCTATTATTTCATTTTAGTTAATGTTCAATAATTGTCGTCAATACAATGAAGAAGGTTCTTTAATATATGAAGATGCAAATACTCTTGAGAGAGTTTTAATGGATAAAGTAAAAGAATTAGGTCCTTTACCTGAAATACCTAAACCTACAAAATCAAGTGCATCTACTCCTACTAGAAATGTTGGGTATGTAGTATTTTAATCTTCAAATACCAGTTGTTTAAGCAATGATACTGGAATGTCAGGTTATTGTGACCATATTGATGAAGATTAGTAATAAATTTTATTATTATTTTTTAGCACTATTTTATTATTTTTTAAATATTTTATTAAACGATAAAAAGATACAATAAAATAATAAAAACTGTAACAATAAGTAATATACAAACCAAGTTGAAATAACCCGATATGATATAATTATAAAAGTAATGAACTAATTCATTTCGTAAAAAATATCGTAATCAATAATTTGTAAATGTATTATATATATTTTATTTAATATATTACATGTATCTTTTCATACTACATAGGAGACCTAAGAAAGTTGTGCCACTACACTTACAAAAATTGAAAACTATGTATGATACTATAAAAGATTATCACGACATAAAAGGGAGGCAGTTATCTTTAATTTTTATGAAATTGCCGAATAAAAATGAATATCCTGATTATTATGAAGTTATTAAACAACCAATGAATATGGAAAAAATAGCATCCACTTTAAAAAATAATGGATATGAGAATTTGGATGAACTTGTATCAGATTTCATACTAATGTTTGATAATGCTTGCAAGTATAATGAACCTGATTCGCAAATATATAAGGTTTGTATATTGATATGCATGTACATCTATACATTTTGAAAATACTTATTTAAAATAAAATTTTTATCAAGTTATTAATTTAATTAAAAAAAAATTTTATGTATAATTATTATTAAAATGTTTTTAATAATTTCAATTTTTATTTTTAAAAAAAATTATTTAAGAAGATAATCACCATTCAGTAATTGTTCAGGTAATTCTTATTTCTTTTTTTTTCTTTTGCAAATATTGAAAAATATTTTATTTTTAATTTATATTTTAATTTAATGTAATTTCTATAGTTATAATGAGTATATAGGAATAAAAGTTCAATTGAAATTTCGCGCTAAAACATGGAAAGCTCGATCTGTTTACGGTTATAGTTTTTGAGGTTACGTGAAGTTAGCTTCTCCTGTAGCTTTGTCGTTTCATACGGTTTCTTATAAAGATTTTACAGAATAATAAATGACTTTTATCTATGAATAAATATAATAATAAAACTGATACAAGTATGCAATTTTATCAAATGCATATGCAATTTTATCAAAATAATAATCATAAATTAAACACATGGAAAAGTGTTCAGTGAATATCTGTGAAAGTTATAAGTTTGCAAGCTTTATATATATATATATTATATTGTTGTTCAGAATGTTTGAACAAGGAAATATTAATGATGAAAATAATGTTTCTATACAAAAGCCATTAAAAGTTCGACCTTGTTTTATTCGTTTAATGAGAGACAAGGAAGTAGATCAACGTCTATCAAAAAAATGCAAGAAGAATGAAACAGAAGTAAACAACATTCTTTTTAGAATATTATTTCATTTAATTTTCTTTTTACAAATTTTGTTTGTTAATATATTGATTTAAACGATATTTATTGGTATTAATGTATTTTAAATATAATTTGCAATCTATTAAAATTATGTTATAGGATGCTTTAATTTTGCAAAGATTAGTTCTTCAAACAAAATTACAATTAAGTGAAGATGAAGAAAGTGTACCAGATGTATCAGCTGCAGTTCAAGAAATATTAGCAACTATCTTTACGGCTCTTTATAATCATCAAGATGAAGAAGGAAGGTGTTATTCAGATTCAATGGCAGAACTTCCAGAACATGATATAGTTGATGGAAAAAAGTATGTAATACTTCTAATTTAAATAAATATTATTCAATAATTTTATTTTATTATTATTAATACAGTATGAATAATTTCTTTTTGTAATATTAGAATACGAGGATTGTCATTGGATTTAATTAAAAGAAGATTAGATCGTGGAGTATATAAACGGCTAGATCGTTTCCAAGAAGATGTATTTACATGTTTAGAAAGAGCTAGAAGATTATCACGTACAGATTCACAACCTTTTGAAGATAGTGTAGAACTTCAAGCATTTTTTTTACGTACCCGTGATGAAGTAACACGTGGGGGAGATTTATTACATTCACCAGCACTTAACTATACACTTCTTGATCTTTCTGCACAAGTTGCAGAATTAAAGCGTGTTAAACAACAACAAGAACTGTCATTACCTAATGAGGATGAAAGCTGTGATGGCAATGAGACAAAAGTATATGTTATATAAAATTAATATCACTATAACAGTAAATTTATAATAATAAAAGAAAATATTTAATTTTAAAATATTACATATTCATTTTATTTATTTAGGATTCTGAAACAAATACTAATACCGAGGGAAGTAATAGTGATAATGGTGGATCAATGAGTTTTAATCAAGAAATATATAGAGCTGGAGACTTTGCATATGTAGAACCTACAGAACGAGGCATGGAATATAGTGTGGTTCTTATAGAACGTCTGTGGACAAATGCAGAAGGCCAACAAATGTTATATGGCAATTTATTTTATAGACCAAGTGAAACTTATCATGTAGCATCTAGAAAATTCCTTGACAAGGAATTATTTAAAAGTGATGCACATGTAGCTGTACCATTGGCCAAAGTAGCTGGAAGATGTTGTGTATTAAGTGTTAAGGATTACTTTAGAATGCAACCCGATGGTTTCTTAGAAAAAGATGTTTATGTATGTGAATCACGATATTCTACAAAAGCAAGGGCTTTTAAAAAAATTAAAGTCTGGAATTTTGATCCAGATCATTTAAAGTTAATTCCAAGAGAGAAACCACTAGAACCAAAGCGAGTAATATCAGTATATAAGGAAAGACTAGAAAAACATAAAGAAGAAATTGCTGAATTAGAGGAAGGAGAAAAATTGACAGAAAAAGAAAGACCTGTAAGTGAAATCGACTTATTACAACTAAGAAAGATATTATATATTATATATCATATATCTGTATTTTTAGAACGTAATATTATATAATCCAGATGATACGGAAAATACATATTATGAACAATATAATACATGTGCGGGTTCTGTAAAAACTGGAGACTTTGTTTATGTAGCAACAGATGGAGGTAGACAACAAATTGCACAAATTGATGCTATATGGTCAATGAAAGAGTATGTAACATACCTTTTATTATAAACTGCATATGATTTTAGCATTTATTGTAAATAATTAATTTTTTTTCAGTGGAAAATGTTATTTTAGAGGTCCATGGTTATTAATGCCTGCAGAAGTACCACATACGCCTACTAAGTTATTTTATAAACAAGAATTATTTCTATCTACAGTTGATGGCACTCATCCTATTGTGGCTATTGTTGGAAAATGTGTCGTCCTCGACTACGGAGAGTACATTTGTAGTGAGTATATAAAAAAATAATTATAAAATAATCAAACAATTAATTATAAAACAAATATAAAATTATATTTTTAAAAATTGTTATAGTTTTATAAAAATTTATATATTTATATAGGTCGACCGACGGAAATTCCAGAAGATGATGTATATATTTGTGAATCGTTATATGATGAGAGTAAAAGTCTTATGAAAAAACTTGGACAAGAAGGTTTAAAAAAATTTAATCATAGTTCAGCAGTAACTGAAGATGAAATTTACTTTTTCCGAAGACCTATTAATCCAGCTAAGGTTTGTATGAAATTTAAGCATTTAAATAATATATTCTATGCAAAAATGATAACGATATGTTATTTGATATGCCTGTTATTTGATATGCAACTAACTGAATATCATTGCTTTGCATGTGATGTGTGTGTTATAGGTTCCGGGCGATGTGGCTCAGACGCAAAATCAAATCAAGTCTGTTACTCCTAGTTCAACTCAATTTGAAATGGTAATTTCTATTTATAAATTTTTATCTTTCGGTTAACAATGCAACAAAGATGCATGTTTTTTAACAATCACACGCAAGCTTATGTGCAAATTGTTCATATTAAAAATTATTGGACAACTTTATCGTTGTTATATATTTTGTTACATATGACTTGCATGTGATACAGGTTTTGTATCAATTTGTATCTAAGCATGTTTCTCATTTTATGCCGGCATATTCATTTTTTTTCTTTTATTTTTGTTATGTATATGTATATTTTTGTTTTACATAAAATATTTTTTGAGATTCTATTCTTCTGTATAATGGTTATGTAGGACTAGATATTATTTTTAATGGATTTAAATTCAGAGCACCTGTTGGGTTTATCTCTAATACATGTATGTATATACATATATGATATATGTAGAATACCACCAAAAAGTCTCGCTTCCATGTCACTCTAACCCAAATAATATAAAAATGAAGCATTATGCTTTAAGTGGAATGCATACAATACTAATATCTAAATACCTACAAGATTTAGAGTATATATGAGGATTACAGTTGAAATATTGAAAAGTTATGTTATATAGTACTACAACAGATCTCCTCCTACAAATAATGCCCAGTATATTACAATATTTAATCAAATGAAAATGATTAAATAAAAACTTGCAATGAGAGATTGTAAGAATTAGTAATATTTATATAAATATCGCGATATTTATAGTCAAGGAAAATTTGTTTAATTAATAGCATACAAAATTGTTACATCATTCTAGAATATTAAAAAAGAAACATTTCTATTACATTCGGTAACGGATAATGAACGTAACATAAATGGTATAGGAAGCATCACCATTGTTACCGAAGCTGGAACCTGATGTACTAGGCATGGGAGTAGGATTAGGAGTGGGAGTAGGAGTAGGAGTTGGGGAGGACAGCATGGACGCTGGTGGTCCACCGTCCGTTGGATCTGCAGAAGCTCAACCGGTGCTCTCCAATACTCAAACACCTGTGTCGACTAAAAAGGTAGGCCTTATCGTGACATTATTTGCTTATAACTTGTTCATATATCGCATTTTATTTATTTCATTTTACTTTTGTTTAGAAAAATATGCCAGCATATACATTTTTTGTTTTTGCACCGTTTAAACTTTGTTCTCTAACATTAGAACAACAATTAGACATTTTAAAGGTATAATATCAATATTCGTTTTTATAAGACGGTGATATAATTTGTGTTTCTTCTGTTTAGAAAACGGCGGGTAAGAAATTAGTTACGGGCTATATTTTATATTCGAGTAAAATGCGAACGCAGATTACACAAAACAATCCTGAATCATCCTTTGGGGAGATTAGCAGAATTGTTGGCAACGAGGTATTTATTTAATTTTTACTGTTGATTTTTATTTTACTATAAGAATTTATTGAAGAAGAGAAAAGTATGCAGATACAATCTAAATATTATAGAGAAATTTACTGAACTGCTTAAAATATTGTAAGAAAGTGTTATTCTGCATGCTTCATCTTTCTTTTACATATAACACAAATATATATGATAAAAATTATTGATATTTTTAAAATATACTTTTTAAATATAAATAATATACAATATAAATTAATCGGAATATCAAAATACATATTTCATAATTTTTATTTATAATTTATTTATCATAAGTTTATTTACGATAGATTTTTATAGCATAGTATATGTTATTAAACTGATATATTGTATAAATTATTTATATAACTCAATAGGAAAGGTACCTATGATTGAGATTAATTTCTTATCATTTTATATTTAATGAAGGCGGTTTGCGAAATTTTTAAGAAATATCCAAATGTTATTTTAGAAAAGGTGTAATTAAATAAATATTTTTTATATTTCAGTGGAGAAAATTGCCAGCAGGAGAAAAACAAGCTTGGGAAGAAAGAGCAATTAAAATGAATGAAGACGGTGGGCAACTTAAAGGAAATAATGTTTCAGTAGGCACTAACGCTTTACAAGATGTAGTTTATGAATGTTGCTGGGATAATTGTGATTGGCAATTTGAAGATATGACCGATTGTATCGATCATTGTATCGCAGAACAAAATGGGCATGTTCAGTCGTCTTTTATTAATGCTACAAGCGGTAAGTGTAGCTTCTACTTTGTATTATTTTATATATTACTATAAACGAATAAAATCTTCAATTTTTGAAATATATTTTCTAATAGATGTAGAATTCCAATGTCAGTGGCGTGGCTGTGGCCGTACGAAAAAATCTGTACCTCCATTTCCAAGTGTACAAAGACTTGCAAGGCATGTCAAGGAAGTACATATCCTTAAATCAAATGGACGTATAATACCTCCTTCGGAAAGAAGCAAGTATGATGTCAAAATGCTATATAAGAAGCCAACATTTTTAAATTTATAATATAGCCTAAGTTTCCATTTACACTTTTTGTTACAGAAACTATATGGCATCAAAAGGTCCAACGATATTGCCACCAATGGAAACAGGTATGTTATTTATTTTTAACGAATTCAAGATTGTATTTATTACAAGCAGTTTTTAACTTTTTTAAATAATTTCATTTTTTTTTCAAACAGAAACATCAGCAGCTGCAACACAAACAAGTAACATGCCTGGTGCTAAACAACCAGAACCGATGTTCGTTGCTGTTCCTCCAAGACCAAGTCGTGTATTACATTCAGATGCCTACTTACGGTAAGTAAATTGAGTAGTTTTATTGTGATTTAATTTATTTATTAATTTATGTTTTATTATTTTACTGCAAATATACTGTAATTGCAGATATATTGAAGCATTGAACGTAGAAAATCGGTACATATCAAATTGGGACAAACAAATGAATGCTAATCCTGATAATACACAAATTCCTGACGTAACGAAATTGCCTGCGGAATGGTTAGGCAATGGTGTAGGCAACCATGGAAATGTGGTAAATGCCTTATGGACACTCAGGAACATGATGATGCGAGATGTGTTAGCCATCAATAAAACTTTATAGTTTATAACATGTTAAGATTTATAATCTTTAATATTCGATGCTACCTTAAAACTACAATTTTCAGGTCCGTCGATGCTAGATAAAAGACTGAAGATTTATTATTTTGAACAAGTTTATTTATATTTTTAGATTCTTTTTTTTTCATTTTACAACTCTAATTAGTACAATTTCAAATTTAACTTAATTATAACACACATTTTTTAGTGATTTTCAATTTATAATTAGGGCTGACTAAAAAATTGATTCTCTTATTACAAGATTTTCAATGACAAATGTTAGATCTGCAATATATTTATCGTAATTCAACTTAGCAAAAAATTAATTTTTTCGTTGAACGAAAACTATGCTATGAGCATATTATTTTCGATACATCGTCTATGGATCTGTTAGGAGTAGAAGAAAAATACTATGCTATAAGAATCACCACTTTGTAAATATCTCGCTATTTTTAATTTTAACTTTTCATAAAAAAATTTTGTATTTTGTGTATCGCGCATCATGAAAGTGACTTGATAATTACTGTATTCATACTGTAAAATGGAACTGTACTGTAAATATAAAATAATGCACTTTAGAAAACGCTCTGACATAGAAAATGCTATCATTGCATCTATGAATATTGATTTTATGTCATATAATCATACGTTTTTAACATAATATTTTCACTTTTTAAAATAACTTTGATATAAAAAGTATTTAATAATCGTTATTTGTGAATTTTTTAATGATATTGATTTAATAGCTTCAATAAGTAGTATTATTAAAGTGTATATAAAGATAAAAATAATTTTTTATAGCATAGAATTAGATAAAATCTTTCTTATTAAACCTTACACTATAAAATATATTATATATATGGATGAAGGTAACGTAAATTGTTTATTTTGAGATTTATCATGTTGAAGCTAAAAACGTATAATTACGGTCTATAATTGCATTTAATTATCAATTTATATAAAAAAAGCATCATTACATTTTGTTAACTTATTGAACCTAAAAATACAATTTTTGTTACTGTATCATTTATAAATAAAATTGATTGTTCTTATTAAAAAGTGAAATTGTTTATTTTGAAATGTATATTACCTAATGAAAGTAATATTTTATTCATTATTTATATTTTTTACAATGTAAAAAATTGATAATATAGTATTATTTTATTTGTATGATATTTATATTATACTTAATTATTTGTTTTCCAATCATTTTCTCCTATCATTAAGCCTAATATATATAATTTAAATAATAATTAAAATATATTATTTAAAGTATATATAAAGTAAAACAAAAAATACATTTAAACTGCAATTTTAATAATTACATTTTAAATAATATTTAATATTTTCAATTTTATTTTAATTTTTGCAATTAAAGTTATTTTTTGTGGAATAAAATATTTAATTTTGCATAGCACTAACTACTCTTAGTATGTAATATATTAGAAATTTGCAATATTATTTAACAAATAAAATTTACAACTAGTACAATAAATTTCATAGATTTAAATTAATCGAGATTTTTACTTCTTCATATTTTACTTATATATTAAAATAAATAATTACACAAAAATTTGAATTAAAAGTCGCTCACTCGCCCACCATTTTGCCAATCTCCCCACTTTGTTGGATCTTTTTCACTATTTGTTATTAGTTCTCCATTATTTGGATCAGTTTCCACTAGTACTAAGTCCACGAATCGTTCTCTTGGTGGTATTTCTATTATTATATATTATTTCGTGATAATTGTAGTTTATAAATTTATAACAGTAAAACTTGATATTAATTTCAACTATTATCATGATTGTATGTTATACGTTTCACTTACTAGGTATGGGTTGCAATTTTAATTTTCTATGAAATTGTTTCATTCTTAATGATTCTTTTTTCTCAATTTTTGTCTCTTTAACTCGCAATAAATTACCTGTATATAGTAAAAAAGTATGAAATATAAAGTTATTATTATACAAATGGAAATTTATACCTGTTGAAAATTCTTTGGGTTTATATTCGTTATATGATTTTACAAAAATTTGATTTATGGAATCGAGCATACAGACATTAATACGTCTTAAAATAAACTTTAATTTCAATATATCCATACTTGTAATATTTTATTGAATTGATTAAAAAGAATTCTTTTGTTATATTTTTGACAGCATACTTCTTGCAAATACATACAATCTAGTATATAATTTTATAAGTTGTCAAATGTTTCATACGTAATTCAATTCTAATATTCAACAGAATGAAGTTACATATTTTTGTTTAAACATAATATTTATTATATATTTTATTTCAATTTAAATTATATTATACATGTTTTTTTTTAAATTTTATTTTTATACTTGCATAGTTATGTTTTTATTTGCATACTCTATATACACTATACCTTTTATGTACACTAAATATATTTAAAAATCTGTTACACGACCTTTCCTTTCCCAATCACCATATCGTGTTGGTTCTGGTCCACGTGGACCTCCTACTTCGCCTGTTTCTGGATTAGTATTATTTGGAAATGATTTTAATGGTTCTTTTTCTTGATATGGATGTTTACCTTCTTCCAGTTCTTCCAACTTCTCTGTTGCATATTAAACATTTTTTAAATAAAAATACTATTTTCATGAATTCCCATAAATTTCTAAATAGAAATAAAATACCTATAGGGGTACGTTCTCTTAATTTCTTTCTAAATTCGCGCATTCTTGGACTTTCGTTTGTTTCATTTTGTTTTGAAAAAAGAACTTGAAATTCTAAAAACCAATTTGTTAAATTAGTGTTACATTCAACGTTATATTTGATTTTGAAAGTACTTACGTGTATGTAGAAATTTAATTGAAACTTTTGTATTTTCATGACTTGTCTTTAGCAAACTTTTTAACAAAGTTTTTAACATAACTTGTTTGTTAAAAGCTATGACATTTGTAAACATAACCTTATTCATTGTAACTTTTATATCTTTCTACAATAAAAGAGATTATATCATACTGTACTGAAAATACGTAAGAGCACGTAATGAATTATTGATTTTATTATTGCACAATTGTTATTATACATATGTAAAACTGCATCATATTTACAGTTTTAAAAGAGCATATGAAAAATATTCAATGTGGTAGATATTAAAATGACGAACTGATATATTTAGTTTTATATAAATATACACGAATACAATAAAAAAATTAGTATATTAATAAATATCAATAAATTAGTATATTAATAAAATATCGAATTTACTTGTGAAATAATAAATTTTGATTTGAATCAAGTTTATTTGATTACAGTCACTAAATCTCATTGTTTGAATTTTATTATACTGTTAAATAATATGTTAATAAAGATAAAAATATAAATTTATAAAAATATAAATATGTATTAAATATAAAAATATATAAAATTTAAATTATTATCAGTATTATGTCAATAAAGATAAAAATATAAATTGTGATTTTATAAAAAACTAAGACTAATTTATTTTTTCATTTGATTTACAGATGAAAGTAATGAATGGATAAACGCGTGCCTATCTTTGGAATTATGATTTCATGGACAGTGAATGGTAAGATTCTTTACTATTAATTTAATATAAAGTAGCTTTTATTAAGTCTAGTTGGTATTTCGTATTTATATTAAGGGTAATGTTGATTATAATAATACTGATAATAATTTAAATTATATATATATTAAAATTAAAATAAAATACTTTCAGAAATGTACTTTTGAAAAGGTCAGATTTAAAAACTTGGTCTATGTACATACACATCATTTCTTTATATTCTTTCATATTGGTATGAAGTACATAATTCCTATATTTATTTTTATCATATTAACAACTTATATTAATATATTACAATACTTACATTAATTTTGGTGATTTCAAAAATATTATCTTAGATTATTAATATTGCTATCAATGACTTATATAAGTTATATCAAACTTATATCAGGTATAAGATTTAAACAAGAATACTTAAATATCTTCGTTGTTTTTGGAAATATAAAAGACTTTATTAATGAAAGTTGTTCATAGAGAAGTTTTTATAGATGGAACAGTTTCAAGATTACTTTCATTTTCTTAAATAAAATAATATATTTTTTTATCCATTAATTGATACAATTTAACATTTTCTATATATAGATATTATCTTATATTCTATATATAGATATAATCCTCTATAATATAATAAAAAGGATTAAAAGTATTAACTATATAAAAATATTAAAAATATGAATACAAGAATACTTTTGCTTTTCTTTGCTTTTTATATCTTCGTTGTTTGATAGATTTTACAGAACTGATAGATTTTATGATAGATTTTACAGAATTAAAATATCTTTAAAACTAATAATTTTTCAACAAGTTAATATTTTTTTTATAGAGAATGTTGAGTTGATTAGTCAATTGATAAAAAAATATATCATTTTATTTGAAAAAGTGAAGGAGACTTCTGAAACCTTGAGCAACTTTCATCTCATGCATTTTTTTTATCATCAGAAATTGTTCTGGTAATTTGTTTTAAACACCGTGTACATATATTTATATTTCCAAAAAATAATTTTTTTAAGTAGGCCATGAAAAAATGATTTTATATTTTTGTATTTTGTATGAAGTTTAAAGTATATTGAAATTAATAAGTTTTATATCAATTTATTATAATCTTTATAAATTTTTATGCAAAAGATTTTTCCTTGAATAATAAAATAGTCATTAATAATTAATAATGCATATTGATCAAAAGGTTAATATTTTAATATGAGTAATTTGTTATACAAATATATCACCTAACCTGAAATATATAAAAAGGAAAATAAAAAATTATTGTTTTACCTTAAATTTTATAATTTTAAAATATATAATACGCTACAATTATATTGTTATGATTTAAAATGCATTTTATATGCTTCTTAAGAAATGGTATATTATCAATAAGATGTATTTTACAAAGGCAAAGTTATAAATCTATTACAAATATGACTGTAAGAAATGCATTAAATGCAGCTCTTGATGAAGAATTAGCAAGAGATGAAAAAGTATTTATATTGGGAGAAGAAGTTGCACAATATGATGGTGCATATAAAATAACAAAAGATCTTTGGAAAAAATATGGTGACAAAAGATTAATAGATACACCAATAACAGAAGCTGGGTTTTGTGGTATAGCTATTGGAGCAGCACTTGCTGGTTTAAGACCAATATGTGAATTTATGACATTTAATTTTGCAATGCAGTCTATTGATCGAATAGTAAATGGTGCTGCTAAAAATTTGTATATGACTGGTGGAAAATATTCTGTACCTGTAGTATTTCGTGGGCCAAATGGCAACGCTAAAGGTTTAGCAGCACAACATTCTCAGTGTTTTGCTGGATGGTACATGAGTGTACCTGGTTTAAAAGTTCTTTCACCAACAACTTGTGAAGATTATAGGGGTAGTTTAAAAGCTGCTGTTCGAGATCCTGATCCAGTTATAATATTAGAAAGTGAAGTTCTATATAATATAGAATTTCCTGTATCAGATGAAGCTATGGATAAAGATTTTGTCATACCTATTGGTAAAGCTAAAATTGAAAAACTTGGTAAAGATATCACTTTAATTGCACATGGTCAAGCAACTTTGTATACAACGCAAGCAGCTGAAATTTTGGCAGGAGAAGGGATAGAAGCAGAAGTGATTAATTTACGTTCTCTTAGACCAATAGATTGGGATGTAATTTTTAAATCTGTAGCAAAAACTCATAGACTTATGAGTGTTGAATTAGGATGGCCTGTGTGTGGAGTAGGTTCTGAAATTATAGCAACAGTAATGGAAAATCCAGTATTTTTTCAACTTGATGCACCAGCTGTTCGTTGCACTGGTGTTGATGTACCTATGCCATATGCAGAAAATATTGAATATGAATGTACGCCAAAAGATCATCATATTGTAGATTTTGCTAAAAAAGTTTGTGGTGTAAAAAAATAATTCTGCTATATGTTTGAGAATAAAAATTTATAAAAAATTTTGTTTAATATAAAAATTGTTTAATTTTTTTTTGTACAGTGTAACAAAATATATTTACAATAAATTTGTAGCAATAAATTAAAGCTAATAAAATACATATATCTGCAATAATATTGCATTTATACAGAATTAAACATACAGAATAAATTTATGATTTTGTAATTATAAAAATGAATTTAGATGTATATATGTATGTTATGGCTTTAGAAAATAAAATTCTTATTCTGTTATATTAGGATATTAACATTGAATGAATAATTGCATTATTAAATTAAGTTTTAAAAATTCTTATTTAGTATATTAAAAGGCTGATTCATTTGAAGATGACAATGTGTGTAATACTGATTTCAGAATATTTAAATCCAATGCTGCATTGATGACCCGAATGTGCATATAAATCATTGTAAATGAAATTCATTTATAACTTAATTTCATAGGTATGTCATATTTAATATATAATATAAAAAGAAATTAATTTTAATTAAAAATTTAATTTTTGTGCTTGATAATTGATAAACTAATATATTGAAAAATAATGTTATAAAAGTAAAGAAAATATAACATAAAAAAATAATGTAATTTAATTATTTATTTTTAGCACTCATGTAACAATTTTGAGTTGAAGAAGAAATATCTTACATAATTTCAATATTTCAAATTTTGTCTATATATTGCAATAAGAAAATGTTTACTGGAAATTTATGTCAGTAATTGAAAAGAAATTTGGAATAAACTTTAGTAAAATAAATATAATTAATACAAGTAATGTTAAATCAAAATATTACTATATGATATAAAAGAATGTATGAAGCACGAAGGAAAATTTTTTGGTTTGCAATAATAAGTAGAATAATAGTCTTAAGTTTACAATTTATCTTTAATTTGTTATGTCCTGATCATAATGCAGATGCATTTAAAAGTCCTACTGATAATTCTGAACAAATTTCATTATATGACAGTTTAATAACAATTTTATTTGGCGGTCTTGCACGATGGGATGGTGAATATTTTTTACATATTGCAAAATATGGTTATACATATGAAAATACTTTAGCTTTTTATCCATTGTATCCTTTGTTAATTCGGATTATTTCTGTTCCCATAAAGAAAATATTTTTTGTATTAAATATTCATAGTTCTGTACTTATTGCAGCTATATTACTTAATGTTATATGTTTTGTAAAATCTGCTCTTATATTTTATGATCTTAGTAAGGCAGTGTTAAAAACAACAAATGTAGCTTATAAAGCTGCAATATTGTATTGCATAAATCCAGCTACCATATTTTTTTCAGCTGCTTATTCAGAATCTTTATTTGCATATTTAACGTATTACAGTATGTTAAGGTCCATTAAATTAGATCCATATGTATCTTTTCCAATAGGTTTATCCATTCTTACAAGATCTAATGGTGTGATTAATATTGGTTTTCCTATATATCATCAATTGCGAAACTTATCCTATAATTATTTAAAAAAACATGCAAACTTTTCATTAAAAACATTCTGTCAATTTATGTTTAAAGTAGGCACTTTAAAAAGGTTTTGTATAATGTTTAATATAATAATTATATCAATAATTCCATTTATTTTACTACAAATACATAATTATCTCATGTTTTGCATTCCTAGCTTAAATTTAATATTTATTCCTGAACATATTGTTAATTTCAGTATAATAAATAGTTTAGTATTACCTGGTAATAGTTATGTAGAATGGTGCCATTTAAAAATTCCAGTGGCATATTCTTATATACAAAAGAAATATTGGAATTTGGGATTTCTAAATTACTATGAAATAAAACAAATACCAAATTTTATCTTAGCATTTCCAATATTATATATTATGATGAAATGTACAAAAGAATTTTTTTTTGAACATAAAAAGTATATTTTTACATTAGGATTTATTAAAGATATTGAAGATAATGTACAAACTGAAACAAAAAAGTATCCAACTGAAATGTTAGTATTTGTTATTCATGGTTTATTTTTAACTATTTTCTGTATTTTATTTGCACACATTCAAGTAAGCACTCGTTTAATAAGTTCAGCAAGTCCTTTAATATATTGGTATTGTGCTTTATTAATATGTCATAAACCTTATAATGATGATAATTTATATGACGATAAGGAAAATGTATTTTCTAAATGGAAAGTATTTTTCTTAACAAAGAAGAAGTACAGTTTGAAGGATAAACTTATATTTTCCTATTTTCTAGGATATGGAGTTGTAGGTTGTTTTATGTTTCCAAACTTTTTACCATGGACATAGTTTATATAGAGCGCATATTGTAATGAATATACATATGAATGTAAAAAAAATGTAACTGTACAAAAATCATATAATTAAATATAAAATAAAATGTACATTACTGTATTATTAAGTAAATAATTATATTTCTTGATACAAATTACTCAATATTTATACAATGACAATATAAATACTTTATTTAACATGAGATTTTTTATGTTTAAGAATTTCAATTGGTGTCAAGTATAATGTTTGTGCACAATCTGGACATTCATATGTTTGTGTATTAGGTTTGCGTTTAATACTGTCATGCTTTTCAATATCTTTCACACTTGTTTTAATACAGGATTGTTGGTGTTGTAATTTTTCTATGCTTGTTAAAATTACTTGTATGTTACAATTGGGACAATGCCATTCTGTTTTTAAAATTTCCGTAGAAAGTTGATCACTCCATTCAGTTTCTCTTAAACTAAAAAAAAATATAATTTTTTTTATTTTATCAGATATAATTTTATTATAGAAGAATTTACTTACCAATTGTAAGTAATAGTATTTGTTACACGAACTCCTCCTTTAATTAAGTTTGATACTGCTACAAAATCTGATTGAAAAGGATTTGGATCTATCAATATATTGTTTTCACCACTTTCCACATATATTATTTTAAGATCAGCTGGTAAAAGTCGTTTTAGAGTATATGGAACAGTAGTATGCATATATTCAATTAATTCTTGAGTAAGTGTGTATTCAAGTTCACTGAAATCCTGATTTTCGTTATTATTAGTATTTGAATCTGCAAAATATTTATTATATCTAATGTTTATTTAAAATTGCAATACATATAAAGTACACATTAACTTCATATTTTCTACATATTTTAATTATTAGTACCTTGTAACCGTTGATTTAATAAAAACTCCCATTTATTTCTTAATTTTGTAGCTTTTACCAGTAAAGTTTGGCCATTATCAGGTACAGGAAATTTTAATTCCAACCAGGAATCACATACTATTCTATGAAAAGTAAATAGATAAATCATACAAAATATTCTGTTTAAATTTTCAATATATAATATATATATATATATGTATATACATTGAAAATGTACTGTTTGTATCGATTTCACGTGCAAATAAAAGTAATGTTTGTGCTGCAGGCATTCTAAGTGTATTTACTAGGTAGGGTTTTGTTGTCTCCAAAAGAGCCCTATTAAATTAATACATGATTAATCAAAGCATAAATTGCCTTATTCTATTTTAAAATATTATTAAAAGCTTACAAATATGTTAATATTGTATGTTTTGGACTAACGGGAGTTTTACTTTTAAAACCTGATATTGATACAATATCAGCTTCTTCTAATTGCAATACTTGAGGATGATTTCCAAAGAAACTCATTGGATGCAAGGCAATATATGGTTTTGCTTTTGTATGAAATAGTTGTTCATTTGTTGTCTGCAAAAGTTTGTATTATTTATAAATGAATGATTAACTTATTTTATGATAATATACCTTACAATAATTGAATTCATCGGCACATGCAAATTGTGGATATAAACCACTGCAGAGTATTAATTTCAACATTGTTAAATCTTTATAACTACAAGCAGTAGCGGCTGTTAATAGATTTTGCACTTGATTTGAATCATTTTTCATTCGAAATTCAATATCTTTTATATCAAGTTCACCATCATCGTGATCATTATCTTCTAACTGAATATCAAAGGATTCTAGCTTTAATTGTTTCCTTTTTCTGGGTTCATTTTGTTTGTAAGTTCTTTTTAAGGATTTTAAAAGTTTAAGCTCCCCATGTCTTATAGCACGTTCTGCACTAGACATAGAAGAATTTGGTTCTGGGAGACTTCTCAGTAATTTGCAGTCCTAGCAACAGTAATAATCTGGTGAAACAATCAATTATTGCTATTGGAGAAAGCTTAATAAGGTAATATTAAGCAGCTAATAGCTTACCTGAAGTAATTCCTTAAATTGTGCTCTTAATTTTGTCATTTCATAAAATCTTTGTTCCTCTAAACCTCTTCTTTTACACCATTTTCTACTACTATTACCACTACCCCTGGATTCTTGAGAACTCTGTTGTTTTACTTCTAACCATTCTCTAAATGCATTTAGTAATGTTATTGGATCACCGTGATCAGATTCCAATTTTTTTCTAGATATCTACAAAATTATTTTTCAGCATATTTTAATTTTTTTATATGAAAAAAATTTATAAATTATATTTGATTACCTCACATTCTGAATCCCTATATGCTTTATTTGTAAATGGTGTTTGTATGCTTAAAGCAGCAGCTAGTGACAAAATTGGTTCTACTTGGTGAAAAATGGAACCCATTACTAACATTTTGCCTATAGTTATATCAACTGGTAAACGAGCGAGTGTCTTTCCAATACATGTTATTTTTTCATTATCTGTTAATGCACCCTATAAATTGAAAACTTTGTTCTATCTGTATTAATCACACTCATATTGATATGAAAATATACTAACATGTTCTTTCAAAGATAATATAGAATTTTCAATGCTTTCTGCTGATGGTGGTTCTATAAATGGAAATTTTCGTGCATCTGGAAGTCCCATTGCAATCATTTGTAAAAGTAAAGAATCTAAAGGTACACGTTGTAATTCAGGAGTTGAATATTTTTCTAAAGACATATATTCCTCTTCAGAGTACAATCTACAATGATTTATTTGTGATTTAAGTTATTAAGTACATTCACGAAAATAACATGAATTATATATACCTGTAACATACTCCAGGTCCAGTTCTACCAGCTCTTCCTTTTCTTTGCTCTGCACTAGCTTTGCTAATCCAAAATTCTTTGAGTCGTTGCATCTTACATGATGGATCATAACTCATTTCTTTTACTTTTCCACTGTCAGCAACAAATCTTATTCCATCTATAGTAATAGAAGTTTCAGCAATATTAGTAGATACAATACACTTTCTCACTCCTTCAGGAGCATAATCAAATACCTTCAAAAATAAAAATATGACATCAGTTATGTCAAAATTACAAATTTTTTAAAAAATAAATATATAAAAAATTTTACTTTATCTTGCTCACTAATGGCAAGAGTGCTATGAAGTGGTAAGATAATCCAATTGTTTTTTTTCTGACTATATTCTTTTGCTGCATCTACAACTGCAGTAATTTCACTCATTCCACTTAAGAATATTAATAAATCACCTTTTTCTTCAGCTAAAAATATCAACATTTATTTATAATTTATTTATAATTTTTTTGTAATAGGTAAAATTGTTTACCTGGATATTTTTGATCAATCATTTGCATTATTTGTACGTAAGGACTTGGATTAAATCTATCATTTTTATATCGAATATCTTCTATAGTAACAGGTCTGTATAATAGCTGAATAGGATATAATCTTCCAGGAACCTATAAATTAATTAATTGTTATTATTATAATATCTTTCTTAATACATTATTAGTCAAATAATTATAAAAGTACCTGTATTACTTTAACATTTTCTTTGGCAAAATAATTGTTAAAAAGTTCAATATTAATTGTAGCAGACATAAGTACTAATTTTAAGTCTTGCCTTTGATTAATAATACATTTCATAATACCAAGAAGAAAATCTCCATGTAAGTGACGTTCATGCACTTCATCCAAAACAATTACATCATAAGGCAATGATTCAAATTCTCCAGATAACTAGAAGATATACAATATGATAATATTAAAATTATAATGTTTAATATACAAACTGGACATTTGTTATATTTTTATTTTCACCTGTCTCAACAAAAGACCTTCTGTTATAAAAGTAATTTTGGTATTTTGATTTTTTTGCTTTTCAAAACGAATCTGGTACCCAACATCATTGTAGTTTTCTGTTAATGTTTCAAAGGCAACACGTTTTGCTAAAGATATACAAGCTATTCTTCTTGGTTGTGTACAAGCTATAAAAAATATTTTTTATAGTATTACGGAATTACAGTTTGTTTATTATAATATTCATAATAAATATATTATATTTGTATTAAATAATTATACGTACCAATCTTTTGAAAACCTGCTGCATATAAATATTGAGGCACTTGCGTGGATTTTCCACAACCAGTATCACCAGCTATTATAACTACCTGTTCTTGTTTTATTGTTTCAATGATTTCATGTTTATATTGAAAAACTGGTAGATTTTCTTGTGATTTTCTGAGCTTTCTTAATTTAGCGAACTTTTCTTTTTGTTTGAAATCCAAGTATAAAATAATTATGTTTTGAAACTTTAGTAAACGTTCTTTTGTTAATGCTTTAACTGGTATAACACGTGCAAATAATTCATTAAAATTATAGCTCAATTTGAAATTTATACAATGTAATTTGTGATATGTGTTTGGTACACCAATAGTATTTAATGAAAAATTAGGTAGACTGTCAGGAGTTTTTAGTTTTTTTTGTACGGTTTCATACTTATTTACAAATTTCCAAAAATCATCAATATCCTGAATTATATTTAAATTTCCTGAAAACACTTTATTTAATTCATGCTTATATTTACTAAAATAAAAGTCTTCACAATCCTTATCAATGACTTTTTTATTACAATCTGTACTATTTAAATCATGTTTATTTTTCCTTTGTTCATTATCGTATCGATCATGTTGATATTTAGATTTAAATTTATTAGTTGATTCGTATCGTGGATTCATATTTTAATTATTTCAAGTATTTCAAATTCATACCTCATGTAATATAACCTTAACGGTATATTTATAATATTTCATTATACCAATTGATATTAATTATTTATTATTTATTTATCTATACAGTTTTACTGATAATAATTTTTTATGGAAATGTAGATTATATTAATCATGATTTTGTATACTACAAAATATTTACATAACCTCTAACAGAACATAATCCTTTGTTTTATAATTATACAATTTATGTTTTTTAAAAAAACATTTTTTGTTTTCAATTCAAATTATTTG